TCTCCGATCGGCCGCCGCCGCCGACGCCTGGCATGTTAGCTCCTGTCTCGCCGCCAATCGATCCGTCATTTCTGCTTCTTCGTCTCTTTTCCCTCGCCGCTTCAGCTCCGAATCAGGTGATACGCCCTAGCTGTAGCTTATGTTCTCCAGATCTCGCTTTGGGAGCCATTTCTGTTGTATACCTGGATGTGATTCTCGCCGTGTCATCTCTACTGCCATATCATTATGGATATTAATCTGTAGAGGGTCTCAGTGATTCGTAATGGGTTGTTGGAAAGGGGAAAAGAGATTGGTTTGATGCTACTGTTGTCGTTAATCTAGAGCTTTGTATAGTAAATTCACTTTGTTTTGCTTAGCAGTGGATGAAGATTTCATGCTTAAGCTGTGATCGTGTATTTGAAGTTTCCATTCTCTTCTGTTTTGGGCCATGGAAGATGATGAATAATGGTCATTTTGTTTGTACTGTGCAGCGGAGACCTCTGTTAAGAAAAAGGTGGAGGATGTCATGCCTATCGCTACCGGACATGAGAGAGAAGAACTTGAAGCTGAGTTGAAGGTGATTGCTTATGTTTCTTTTAGTCGTTTATATCTCGATGATGACAAGAATGCATCTAACTGCTGTCAGAAGCATCTGGTTTTACTTCACTTGTGTTCTCGATTGTCTCTTCTGGATTTGATTCTGGAAAAACGGTGAAACATATATTAGTGAGATATCTAAAGCTGGTTAATTTTAACCCAAAGTAGAGCTCTTGTGATAATTACTCTCCTGGAAGAAAATTAGTTGTGACTTTTCTTTTGTGTTGGTGTTGGACAGGGAAGGAAGCTGCTTGACATAGACTACCCTGAAGGTCCTTTCGGAACAAAGGTTAGTCTAGTTTGCAGTATAAGATTAAAATCTCGGTTTCATCTTTGTTTATTGCAACTGAATATATGGTCATCAATGTTGACTGAAAGGTGTTTTCTATATGTATAATTTGAGCGATTTGTGGTACTAATCGTCCTTCTGTTTCCACGACTGACTGCTGCTCTGGCTACTTATGTCTGTTTTGTTGATTTGATGATGATGAAAATCTGAACGATGTTGCCCACAATGTCTAAATGCAAGAATATTAGATTTTGACCCATCAGTTGTGGAGTATAAAGGCTTTCTTTCACCTGAATTTTTGAAATCATATACGATTGGTTCTTTCATGTTCTTGTATTATGTTGTACTTTTGTGGACATCAGTCAATCTCTTTTGGCTATGAGTGCCACTTTACTACTTTAGTATATCCTTATAATCCTTATCGGTTTTTGTATTCTATTACTTATAGGAAGCTCCTGCTGTCATTAAGTCCTATTACGACAAGAGAATTGTTGGATGCCCTGGTGGAGAAGGCGGTCAGTCACTTCTCTTTACCCTTTCATGGCATATTTGTTGGGTTTTCTGGGACTAATAATGCCAAAGTTCATAACCTGGCACTATGCCGTTAACCATCTCTGCACGATGCTTACATTCATTTTGTATTGAAAAGTGCAGAGGATGAGCACGACGTTGTGTGGTTCTGGCTGGAGAAGGGAAAGCCTTACGAATGCCCGGTCTGCTCTCAGTACTTTGCGGTAAGCGTTTGTTTAAACTCTTTTTACATGGCTAATAGTAATCCCCGGCGATATGGACCCGTAATTTCGACCTTTTTTTAAGCTTTGTCTGATTAACCAGAGAATGCCTGCCTACTCGAGCATTCAATTACTGAATTCCATCAATTTCCAATGTGGCAGCTTGAAGTGGTCGGCCCCGGTGGTCCGCCAGACGGGCATGGCGATGAGGATGACCACGACCACCACTGATTCCATGGTCCTTATAATTTTGTTCAGATTTTAAAATAAGGAAATTTGTCCCTCAGGTGAGACACTTTGAATGCTTTGCTCCTCTTAGAACACACAATGAAGCATCAAAGCCCATATGCTTATGCCCTTTTTTTTTTTGGATTAGTACTACTCTCTCTGTTGTTGACCATTTCACAACTTAAATGGGTCAGTATCATTCTGTGTAACTTGGGAGAAATCTGTGCTTTAGCTTTCAAATTTTGGGTGTGTAGTCAGATTTTTTTTTACTTAAAAAAAATTCAGATACCCTCTTGGATTACTGCTCATGAATAACGAGTTCTATGTTATGCAATCCTTTTTTTATTCTTTTTGCAAGTCATTTCTTCACAAGAAATACGAGAGTTTGAAACATTATTGCAATGAACGAATCACATACACGGGGGGACAAGAAACATAACTTGCATCAAAAGCAACTTCAGCCTCTTCTGAACAACAGCGAGACGACAAGGAAGTGAACTGAACTCCATGGATCTTCAACTTACCGAGATTTCTGGTTCCCAGAGATTTCCTTAAGCTTCTCCTCCAGTTCACCGTTCTAGATTTCCAAAAAGAGAATAACAGAAAGAGTTTGCAATAAGACCGGGAATTCGAAGCCATAAGCATTGAAAAAAATGGAAGGCAATAACTCTTTCGCGAGAAAGTAGAGTGATCTGAACCTTGTGCATGTTCAGAATGATGTCCGAGCCACCGAGGAACTCGCCCTTGATGAAGATCTGCGGAAACGTTGGCCAATGGCTTCACAGAGGAGAGACAGTTCATCCGTCAATCAATCGAATATATTGCAGGAAAGAAACAAGGTTCGGGAGGAGCTACAGGATCATACAAACGCTCATCTTGCCGTGTACTAATCAAGAATCAAGATTCTCGTACGCTTTTCAAGAATAGCTTCCTTACTGTAACGACTAGACAGACAGACCAAGAACACAAACTTCCAAATTCTCGAACCATATCTATCCTACTGCCCGAATGGATCAGAGGGGCAGAAAGTATCTGACAAAGGACTCTGATGAGCCAAGACAGTGCACATCACGGGTCAAGAGTGATATCACAAAGCTGTCTACCTGAAGATAATAGATCAAACAACCATTTTTCCATGTACTCACCTGAAGGCTTTCACAGCATTTTTCAGTTCTGGATCTTCTAGTATGTTCCTAGCACTGATGGGAACATCTGCAGGAGAAACCACAGTATAGTATTAATCAGAAGCCGTGTTAGATTTCGAGACTAAATCATGTAAGGTTCTTGTTCAAACACACAGCCGCAGAAAAAAAATAGCAAACATATTCGAGAAAAAGGATCAACATGAAGACATCCCGGGTATGTTACTAGTCAATGAGATTTTTTTTGGTTAAAAGACAAAGCCATTGTGTCTTTCAGACAAAGCAAGGCTTAAGGTAGTTGAACAACGCACCATATTGTTGCAGAACTCTCACGGCTAGCGAGCTGAACCCGCATTGAGGAAATTCGGGGACTCCTTTCATGTAGATCATCACTGGATTTTCCTTCACATCCTGCAAGCCCCAGCTTATAAAGTATCGGCAAACATCGACCAGATACAGAATTCAGTTAAATAGGATCCACAAGTTGGGACTGTACCTGCTCAACTATGTCCTTTAATGACTGGGCGGAACCTGTGACTTTGTTCGTAGGCTTAAAATCATCATGTGTGTCGGGATCATTGGGCACGGTGGAGAAGCATCTCATGCCATTTTCATAGAACAGTGCAGATGCCTGCCAATAGAATTTGAAAAGGGTAACATACAAACCATGAATTTCCCAGACTAAACAAGCTCACGAATCCTTAAAGCATCCAACCTCGAATCAAAATGTCTACACCAACTGGGATGAAACAGGGGAAACCCCCAGGAAAATGATAAACTTTGTTTTTCCTTTAAATGATGTGCACAAAAAATGGAAAAGGGTAGCAAGATAGTTTCATGAAGTGATGTATATACGAATTTCGAAATTCAATTTCTAGAAGGGTGAGAAACCCAAATCGTCAAACACCATTCAATAGAGAGGCATGAAGCTCATTGAACACCCAGAAAAACCAGACAGAGAAGCACGAAGATGTTACAGAAAATCATACAAATCCGCCAGAACGAGCAGCTTGGATACCACCGAGTCGCCTGAGAAGTCTGCTCGACAGAGAAGCTGCCATCGCTGAACCG